CCAAAATAACACTGGAAAATTATTTGGGTTCCTGCTTTTTTTGGACAATCATTACTCTCACTTTTTCCAGGTTGACCTATAAATGTCCATATGCTGCAGGGTATTTGCAGTAGGTGTAGGTTCCTTTGGAGACGGTCTTGTGTGGGAGACAATATGACAGCTCATCTGCATAGCACAGGCATCATACCCCTGACTCGATTTAGCAGAGAGTCCTGGATTTGAAGGCTTCTCCCATATAGCCTGTATATTTAGGGGATTGCTCATATACGCACACATGCTGTGCACTCACACTCTCTCGTGCAGTCATTTTTCCGTTATCTGTGGGCAGCTCAGCTGGTTTGGGAATAAATCACAGAGTGCAACAGGCGCGGCAGACCCCGGCTTGGGGGCACAGCCTCTGCTGCAGCCAGACATCCACGCTGTAGCCAGACATCCCGTGTTGTTAAAAAGATGTGTGTTAATGCACAGCCAGAAGATTTTATGTGAAAACCTTTGTGTCGACTGTGTGTAACAGCAGTGATGAAGGCTGTACTGATAAACCGGTGGAACTGATGTCCCCAGGAGAGCACTCAGTCTTCCGAATGCCATGACTTTCGATTAGGAACTACAAATTGTCCCTAGAATTGTTGAACCTATGGAAGACTCTTGGGGGTAGGGGACAAATCTTGAGAAGCTGGGGTGCAGGTGGTCAGCATGAAACTGGGATGAGGTGTGGGAGAAGGAGCTGTGTCACACCCTGCCTCAGTTACACCTCAGTCACACCCCTAGCCCTGTTACAGTTGCATGCCAATGATTTTTCACCCGGGAGCTAAGGAATTTGTGGGCATTTAGGTGGCTTTGTACCAGTGTAAGGCCAAGTCAGGTGTTTATTTTACAGACCTCCAGCAGACAAACAGCCTTCCCATCTGACAGGAGTGTTTTGGAGAAGAATTGAGCAGGTGGGCTTGAACACATGACAGAGGTAGGGCACTTCTATTCGTTTTGGAGTCCTTCATGCTCTGACTAGGTGTTTTCTATGGCTAAAGACCCTACAGAACAGCGTGCTCCTCCTGTGAGTGCGGCGGTGCCATCTCCTGTTGTATTTTTTGGTGTCTAGCAAGACCCCTGCGAGCAGAGGCTGCTCCGTGGCTCCCTCAGCCCCATGGAGGGATGTGGCCTGGGCTCGCGGCTGTGTGAGGAGGGGGGACATCATGGCCACGAGGGGCTGTGACAGGTGACTGATCCCCGTCAGGCCAACTGGAGGGGTGGTAGGCGTGCTGGTATTGTTTGCCATCAGGTTTTCTGGGCCTGCCTACAGGGTGCCATGGGGTGGTTGCCCTGGGTGTCAGTCAGACTACAGCTGTGGAAAGGTGAGCCATTCGCTGGGTGTGTCAGCCACGCTGAGGGCTGTAGGCGGGAGCTGGACTCTGTGTCAGGCCTATTGGAGGGGTGACAAGGGCTGGTCTCCAAATGGCAGCCTCGCTGGGGGTGGTTGTGTCAGCCTCATGGGGGTGTGATGCATCAGGGGACAGGGGTGGGCTCAGCGTGTCAGCCACATCGGGTGTTGGAGCAGGGGTTGGTCCCTAGCTGTGTCAGCCACACAGGTGTGTGTGACAGCAGGCAGCCTCAGCACCTCAGTCACACTGGGAGAGTGACGAGGCTGGTCCCTGACTGTCAGTCGCACTGGGGGGGTGACAGGGGCGGTTCCTGACTCTGTCAGTCGCACGGAGGGGGGTGACAGGGGCGGGGCCCGCCCGGGGGCGGGCCCCCGGGGGGGGGGCA